AGAGCCGAGTTCGAATTCCTGTCGAATCCATTGCATTCACATACGTGGCTTACGGTCAAATCACGCTGAAACACCGGTTCTCGTACGATCACCGAAGTTAAGCAGCGTAGAGCCAGGTCAATACTTAGATGGGGGACCGCTTGGGAACACCTGGTACTGTAAGCCCCCAAAGTCCAACCCTTACCTCACAGTCGGTGGGGGGGGTGTAAACGGTAGTGTCAGAGCTATGCCGCCCGGAACTTCGTTCCAGGTAGGGCCACCCAAGGCGGACAGGTCTGACACACACGCCGGCTAACAAGGGCTCTGGTGAAAATCCGAGGAGCGTCTGCATCGGTAACCGGCGGCTTCTGGTCGTTCCTGTCTCTGCGTCTGTGGGAACCCCGCGGCAAGCAAGAACGTTATCCGAGTAGGCTTGGGTACCCTACTTCTGTAATTTATCCCATGAATCTTCTTCTCATAACAGGAAGAAGCCGGCTCAATCCGCCCAGGGTGAATAGCCGCATCAGTTCAGTAGTAGTACATTCACATACGTGCTAATATCCTTGGTAAAGGGATGAATCCTCTTCTCCACCCCACCCCAAGGTATGGGTAAATAGCAGAACAGACCGGGGTTCTATAGCCATGGATAGCAACTGGTCTACCGCAAAAAGAAATGGTAACCTATAATAATAATAACGATAATGCGGCGAGCAATATGTCTCGTCAGTCATGTATCGAAAGATATATGATCGCTTAAGCGTGTATCACACATGGCATGTAACTGACATGTCGAATAAGACATTTTTCCTTCATTTCATATCCATAATATAAATATGGTTTCGAATGATTTGCCAATGATTTCACATAGAAAATCATCGTGAACGATTTTATTATAGAAGTTCTAAAAATAATAGAGCTACCTAATAACATTGATCACCTTCCTTCGATTACAGCGGACTGTGCACTCACATGACTCAACTCTCTCCAGAGTTCATGTTATATACCTATGTACCTATGAACACTTATGTGTATGTTCCAGTCCTGATAAATACGCTGGACTCTATTGTAAGTGAGAGGGGGTAATCTGCTGTCTAAATAGTCCACCGCTGCCAGCGTTTTACCTACTTCACAACACTGGCGAGTATTGTATTTTGTTGATGTTATAAAGATCACCGTTTCATTTCCAACGTCCATTTTGGGTTTCCTCATTCAGTAACCCTTTCTAGATTACTGTTATGGTGAAACACACCTATTCTATAGTCAATAGACTCTCCCACCTAATATAAGTAGTAATAGTAAGAGAAACGAGGGCCAGTCGATGTCGGACGACCGGCTGAACGGTTGAACTCTCTGCCTTCGGGCGGGGATGACCCCGAACGAGGCTATGCCGAAGGGCGGAGTCTCGTTCGGGGAGGTAAACCGACCCTGAACCCGTTTATACGGGTTCATAGGGCATATTTTTGGCCGAGCCCACGGGCTCGGGAACCCCACATTAAATTCGGCCTTGTGCCACATGTGACTGCGTGGGGCAGTTACTAAATAGTGTCGATGTCGGACGACAGTTAGTCGAATACGAAAGTAGTCAGCGACCAAAACAAGATTACTCTGCGTTATACCTATTATATCAAGTTCCTAACGGATTGTACGTCGAACTATTTAGGGCCGATTTAGTACAAATACAAGCCTCCAGTGCGAAATAACTCCACAATAATTACAGCAGTTCATTCTGGTTCCCTGCTGAATTTGTAACTACCAGATCCAAGGATTCAACTAGATGACAGTTGCACAAGTAAAACCAAATCCTATATCCATTACTAAGGACATTAGTGTTCGTACCGCTTTTTCATAATTTAGTATAATAATATAGAGATGAGTACTTGGTCGAAATGTTTTGTCTATAATAACATCTATATCAACCATGATGAGAAAAATACTTTGAAATATTGCAAGAATATTGACAATTAGTCATCACGAAATCAAATACTAAATTATGGAAAGCGCCATCATAGTCAAAAACCATACGAAATTGAATATAAAATGCTGCAAAAACATTACTTCAGAAGGGTGACATCATTAATATAGAAGTTGGCTATGCATGTGTTACTGTCATCTAGTAGTTGGAGTTCAATCTTTGGATCTGGTAGTGACGTACCAATTCAGCAGGAACGAACAATAACTGATATCACAGGGACAAAATATTAAAATAATCAGATATCAATGAATGAACACCTGATGATGACCAAAGGTACTTGGTCGAAACGTTGTGTCTATAATAGCGTCTATATCAGGGGCGGCAACCTTTTGGAGAGAGCGTGCCTGAAAGCTATGCAATGTCTCGGAGTAGGGCCATAATATCAAATTAATTATAATAAAATGTCTCGACCTCAGACGGCTCTGTCATGAAGGATGGATTGGTTTGGAAGTTTAAAGAAGAAACAATGAAGTTAATGTTATATTATTTAAACAGTGTTCCTTATTTTATGGCAGGAATAACAGGATAACAACTAATACAAACAACAAAAAAATGAAAAATTGCTTACTACAAACTACTTACTACTTAATTTTGCTTATTGCTTGATAACTTCTCCTCCTCGGATAAAACACTTGTCGATGACACGAGCAAAACATTTATCCAGGTGGTCATCACCCAAACTTATTCTTAAACGACTTTTAATATATTTCATTATCGCAAAAAGTTGTTCACAAGCATATATGTACTTCCAAATAAATATACAGTCATTTTCACATTATTCGGACTATTGACCTCATCTTTGTCGCAATATTTATCACAACGTTTCGGCCGTTGTACGCTCCGGCCTTCTTCAGGGAGGTGGAATTTCGAACTGAACCCTTTATTTCGCTTCACTAGACTGTCCTAGTTCCACGTTTGATGGATGTCAGTTGTCAGTTATCTCCTGCTAATTTTCCCTCTGAAAGTTCTCCACTGCCTTAACTGGGTATTGAACTCACACTCTTTGGGTCTGCCACTGGATCTAACCAACGCCTTTATCCACTGTGCCATGTGTCCTCAAGGACATGGCACAATAGTCCGAATAATGTAAATAATGTACATAGTACCTCATCTCAGAAGTATAGACAGGTCATTTTCACATTATTCAAGAGGCTGTGATATTTTCCGCTTGGCAAAGCATTTTTTTTAATTATAAATTGCTCGTGTTGTAAGTCTATTAAGAAGATTAAAAGTTTCTTCAAATTAATTAGATAATTAGTGTCCAGGTGTTAAAATCCTCCGCGGACCGGATGTGGGCCAAGATGGACACAATTGTTCGAAATAATACAAGAATATTGACAATTACTCATCTCAAAAATGAAATCTCTATCTGTAATTCTCAAAATGTGTGTGTGTGTGTGTGTGTGTGTATGTGTGTATGTGTGTAGGATCGAATGTTATTTATACGTTTCCACATTATCCGATTTCGCTGAATTTTTTTTTTTTTTTGATAGATAATTCTTCAGTGCTGGTTTTAAGTCCAAATTGGCTGAAAAAATTACAACCTTAAAGGTGAAAAATCAAAAAAACTGATTTTTCACACTTAGCGCAATAATGAAAGGCAAAATTTAATGTCTGCAAAAAAAAAAAAAACAACGTACTAGAGTTTAGAGAGTTGAAATCTAACGTAAAAAATTATTAGAATTATAAAAAAAAAATTATATTATAAATAAAAATTATCGTATATTATTATTATGACGGTCCATGGAAGAGGTTCCTTCCTTGCAAAATTGAGAACACAAAACGGCCCTTTTCAGGGATACACCCCCTTATTCAAATTGTTAAACCCCCATTTGGGGATGTGCCTCAGTTGCACCTAATTGTTGTTACTAATATTGATTTTCTGATGGACAGACTTTAAACTTAAACCGCTTCAAATGAACGGCAAAAATTCCCAATAATGTTTAACCCCGTCGAAGACGGGTTATACTGCTAGTATTCAATATGTGAACTTTTACATATTTCCGTCCATATATTCTACCAGATTTATTATTATACCTTCTCACCTTGGATATTTGAACATTTATGTTCTATATTTTTGTCAAAGTTAGTGTCAGTGATTAATATAAATTAAGACGGGTTATACAGCTAGTACTAAATATATTTTATTTATTGTTTAGTTATTCTAATCGATTTCATGAGTGTCTTCCATGATTTGATTATTTTTTTCTTTATCTTTCTCTCCTATTGCCAAAGACGTCTTTCTTCCCTCCAAATATACGTTAAGATTTTCTCTTATCTTTGCCTCCGAATTTCCAAGTCTTCTTTCCCTCCCTCTTATCTCGTCCATTCTCTTCTTTCCCCTTTCTTTTATTTTTATTCTTCTCTGCTTCTCTTTTTTCCTGTTTTCTTTGTTTCTCTTTTCATCTCTTCTCTGCACTTTTCTCCACCTTGACCTACACCCACGAGGATAATCGGTAAATCCCTACCCGTATTCCCACCCGTTTGGCCTTTTCTTTCCAATTATAATTCTTAATCTCCTCCCCAGGATTCTTTCTTATTCTTCTTTTTAATTCCTGAAAATCTATTTGCCTTCATATTCCTTTAATAACAGAGACTGGTGTTCAACTCAAGTTAAACTCACCTTGGGCGCCTACATTTATGCAAGCCACCTGCCACTGGCACATCCGGTAGCTGCTCTTTTTGTCCACATTAATAATTAAATGGGAGACCATTCTGTGTAAGGGCATTAGCTTATAAGTCTTATTTGGAAAACGTCCCACAATTATGAGGTTTATGTCAAAGAAATCTCTCCTCCAGCTTTCGGAAAGGCTTGCCGACCACAGGGAATATTCGCCCGGGGTCACAAAATGAATATTGATTAATTTCCGTATGCATGTATTAAAAGGAATATGGATTTACAACAATGATATAAGTAAAAAGAGAAAGAAAGTTGGGTAATGAACAGGAGAGTTGGTGCAAATGAGGTAGATACTTAGAACAGGGGAAAATTTTGTATGGAGGTAAAACGAATTGCAGAATATAGATAGATAGTGAGAAATGAAATAAATTACAGATAGATAGATAGATAGATAGATAGATAGATAGATAGATAGATAGATGGAAATGTAAAGAATAGATAGATAGATAGATAGATAGATAGATAGATAGATAGATAGATAGATAGATAGATGGAAATGTAAAGAATAGATAGATGGAAATAAAAAGATAGATAGAAATTTAAAGAATAGATAGATAGATAGATAGATAGATAGATAGATAGATAGATAGATGAAAATGTAAAGAATAGATAGATATTTGAAAATGTAAGAATAGATAGATAGATAGATAGATAGATAGATAGATAGATAGATAGAAAGATAGATAGAAATCTAAAGAATAGATAGATAGATAGATAGATAGATAGATAGATAGATAGATAGATGGAAATGTAAAGAATAGATAGATGGAAATAAAAAGATAGATAGAAATCTAAAGAATAGATAGATAGATAGATGGATAGATAGATGAAAATGCGATGATTAGATAGATAAAAAGCAAAGATTAGATAGATAGATAGATAGATAGATAGATAGATAGATAGATAGATGGAAATGCGAAGTATAGATAGAAAGAAAGAAAGAAAGAAAGAAAGAAAGAAAGAAAGAAAGAAAGAAATGCAAAGATTAAATAGATAGATAAAAAGAGAGAAAGAGGTAGAGAAAATAAAATAAAATTCCATAAAGCTTCCTCTTCTTTAATATATGTGAAATTTCATGACTTCTTTGACAAATAATGACGTCGTACCAAGTATTTACAAAGCTTCATATTCAGTCAGCTACTCCACAGTTTTGAAAACGGAGTTATCCTTTTCCTTATAAGATTACATTCGGTATTCATTGGCTGAAGAGCATTTGCTACTTTCGGTTGAAAATTTATGAAATCTCTGTAGTAAAACAATTTTTTAGTAAAATATGTTTATCAAGTTCAGTAACTGTCATCGATTTCTCTAGTATCGGTGGAAGTTTCCTTCCTAACCTTTTGTTTGAATTACTATCGAACGTCAATTTCTTAATTATGTCATTTTTTTTCTCTTCATCTGCTGGTGGAAGTCCTCAGGTTATGTGGTCTCTTTTATCTGATACAGATCTTTGTGATTCTGTAGTTCCTGGCATTCTAAGAAGAATGGCCCCTGTTAAGACATATATACTTCACTCATTGGAAGCTATTTTTATCGATTGATCTGAGAAAGTGGTTGTATACAGCTGAGCGTTTTGATATTTGAGAATGGGTTTGATGCCATCCATGGCATCCATATCTATCTGGGGAGATTTACAGCCATATCACGCTGAGTCGTCGGTTCTAAGACGGTCACCGATGTTAAGCAACATCGAGCCTGGTCATTATATAGTTGGGTGATCGTTTAGGAATATCAGTTGCAGTAAGCTTGGGTGTACGGGTGGCGTAATTGATAAAAGGTCGAAAATGGAAATAGAATAACCGAGTTCTGATTCCTGTTGGGTTCGTTATATTCACTTAAACGCAAATACCCATAGGAAATATATGAATCCACCTATTCTACCCCCATCTATGGGTTAATTAGTAGGACTTTTATCAGTAAATCATTATCGTCAAAACATTTTTTTACAATCTAAAAGTATCTTCTGGCTTTAAATAAGCTACAGATTGATAAGCAGTAGAAAAAAAACAATAAATCATAGCTAGGGAGGAAATTGGTTCATGCCTTTACTAAGTGAAATATTTCGAAGTAAACGTAACAGACTCGGTTAGTTTGTCACGTACACTTAGCGATAATACGAACAGTGCGTCAAGTCTTATGATAATAAAATAGGTTTATTGTTCGCGTTTCAACATCAGTCAGTTATGCGCCGCTCGTGATACGGGCTTAGGCGATCATGTATCTTTTGATACATGACTGACGAGGCAGATTTTTTCCTGCAGTAGGTTGCCATTTCTTTCTGCCATCCAAGGCTTTAGAACACGGTCTGTCCTGCTATTTACCCATAGCTGGGGGAGAAGAAGAGAATTCATAAAGGGAATTAGCACGTAAGTGAATGTAATGGATTCGACTGGATTCCTCAATCCGAGCTGCTATCCATTACTCCACCGTGCCACCTAACTGATTCAACATACTGACAGAATAAATTCCAACGAATTATTTCCCATAATCGACAACTCAAAATGTTACTTGCGAGGTTAGCGTAGAATGGAACGCAGCTCAGAATGAGAAATCGAAGAGGCGGTTTCGAATTCCAGTAAAGTTCATTACATTCACTTACGGGCAAATACCATGGGAAAATGTATGAAACCATTTTTTCTCCCAACAGCTATAAGTTAAAAGGTAGACTAGATTCTCTAGCCGTGACTAGTAACCTGACAAGAAGGATAATTCTAAATTTAAAATCAATAAGGGATACCTCTAAGCAAGATCTCTATTAGGTTTCATCCAAAGTGCTTAACCAATTACAAATTGAATAAGAGTTTTGAAAAGACCCATGTAATGAATTATGCAACATAATAATGAAATTATATATATATATATATATATATATATATATATATATATAGCCAATTAGTAACTTGTAGGGATAATTCCAAAGAGGATATTAATCCAGAGAAAGCTCAATGTAAACTACAGAGCATTATTATATTAATAATAAATCAAGAAGAAATCCTTAAAGATCCATTTCGGATCCATATATATATATATATATATATATATATATAGTGGCAATGAGCATTAAAATGTATTGACCGGCAAGAAAATATTTGAATTCGATTTGGTGAATGTAACTAGAAGATAAATGATGCAGAATACTAAAAACAGTGGCTTAACACAGGAAAGCAAAATTAATATTAAGCTATATGAATAAGTAGACGAAAACTGATTTCTCTGCAATAATATTTTGTGATGAATGTAATGTCGATGGTGGCGATAGAGATCAAGTCGTTCATGAAAACAGTCAACAATACAACCAATTAGAAAGGAGGTGGTCTAATGCTTTGCACTAATATTGTAGCTTCCCCCTCCCTCTCTCCCTCTCTCCCTCTCTCTCTCTCTCTCTCACACACACACACACACAGGTGGGATGTGGCAAGCCTCTAGCTGCTCTGTCGTTATGTCCACGGAAAGTTCTCTGACTAAACAAATTCCTTGGTCCCCGTCAGTTCAAACCTTCCACGCCATGCGACTTACATGTGAGCAAACCACCCACATTCCCTCAATGTTCTAACGGTAAGAAGTAAGTTCCACTCGAACAGGTTCTTCCCGCGAACCACTGTTCTGTGGAAGTGACTCCCAAGAGGATGTTTCACTACAATCTTAACCTGTTCAAGGATAGGGTTATCTCCCCCTTCTACCCACTAAATTGCCTCTTAACGTAACCCGACTTGTATAGAGTGAACTTTATTGTAAATAAAAAGTAAAAGTCATCGACCCCGTCAAAATATATGAAATCAAGGGAAAGGCTGAGATTATTGGAAATTCTTGAATATTAAATTAATTAGTAGTAGATATCATAGCGAAGTCGCTTCTGGCTAAAGTGTATATTGATTCAAAATAATGCTCGTTTACATTCTTTGGCACTGAATATTGCCCACCTTGCCCAAGAGGTTTTATAAAATAGCAAATTAATAGAGTGATACCCCGGATTTCCAGATATAATTCAAAAGAAATTTGTGGATCATCATTTAAAAGAAATGTCTAGGAGAATGAAAACCTTATTCAAGTGGGAGAGATAACTTGGGATGCAATAAAACGACTACTAGTAATTCTAAAATTAAAATAACAAAGTTAACAAGATCAATAAATAAAAGGTTGATAAAGGTCATGGAATAAAATAATGAAATAATATTTTACTTGATGCATGTGATATTGTGTCAATAAATATGTTCCTTCACCCAATGGTCTAGAAGCAATATGACTAAGTTTGAACTCATGCAAAAAACAAAAAAACAAAAGAAAAAACAAAAAAGAAAACAAAAAAACGCATCTCTTCTTTTCACATCTTCAAGCTGAGGTATATATAATGCTTTAAGTTAAATTCTGAAGGAGATTGATATAAAATGACCACAGAAGACACTTTATATATTAGGAATGAGTATTATAATTTCGTGTAATTATAATAATATATTAGATCACAATTTCTGTCTGAATTTCTGGGACGGAGAGTTAGCATTATATAAGCTAACTATATTCTCCTATATTTTCTTCTCATATTTGTTATCATAACCTTTCAGCCGTTGTGCTCTCCACACTTCCTCATATGTATATTGATTCAAACTTAGTCATATTGCTTCTAGACCATTGGGTGAAGAATTCACTTGTGATCGTATAGTATAGCGCTAGTCTCTGGAGTTCCGCAGTGGCGATATGAGTCTTGAAGATTGTTGTGGATTCCGAGATGAAATTTGGTCTCCAATGAATGACAAACGCAAGAATTAAATATAAGAAATAAAATGTATTTACACAATAATACAAATGGTAATACTGTTAGTAAGTCCAGCAACGCGGTTAGTAGCAATAATATATAGATATATACAGTCTCGAAGTAGGACTTCCTTAGAGTCTACGTGCTTGTAACTGACTTCTACAAACGGTAAAAGAAAGTAAAAAAGAAAGAAAGAAAGAAATTGAAATAGATAGATAGATAGATAGATAGATAGATAGATAGATAGATAGATAGATAGATAGATTCTGTAAAGGAAAGGTGAATTAAAACATTTGAAGCCACTAAATGTAGAAAGGAAAGATTAATTTAAAAATTGGGAAAACAAAAGAAAGAAAGAAAGAAAGAAAGAAAGAAGGGAAGAAATTAGATATAAAGTAATAAGATACAATTTTCCATAAAGCGTAGAGATTAATAGGGAAGAAACAAATATAAATCAAAGAAAGTGCGAGTGTAAAAGTGAAAGTAACATCTAAATTTAAGAAATGAAATAAAGTGTAAATGAGAGTATTAAATACGAATGCAAAATAAAGAAAGAAAGAAAGAAAGAAAGAAAGAAAGAAAGAAAGAAAGAAAGAAAGAAAGAAATAAAGATAGAAAGAAAGAAAGAAAGATAGAAAGATAGAAAGAAAGAAAGATAGAAAGAAAAAAAAAAGAAAGAAAGAAAGAAAGAAAGAAAGAAAGAAAGAAAGAAAGAAAGATAGAAAGAAAGAAAGAAAGAAAGAAAGATAGAAAGAAAGAAAGAAAGATAGAAAGAAAGAAAGAAAGAAAGAAAGAAAGATAGAAAGATAGAAAGAAAGAAAGAAAGAAAGAAAGAAAGATAGAAAGAAAGAAAAAGAAAGAAAGATAGAAAGAAAGAAAGAAAGAAAGAAAGAAAGAAAGAAAGAAAGAAAGAAAAAGAAATAAAGAAAGAAAGCACGAAAGAAAGAAAGAAAGAAAGAAAGAAAGAAGAAAGAAAGAAAGAAAGATAGAAAGATAGAAAGAAAGATAGAAAGAAAGAAAGAAAGATAGAAAGAAAGAAAGAAAGATAGAAAGAAAGAAAGAAAGATAGAAAGATAGAAAGTACAATGGATACTATAACAAAAACTAAACTCATACCAGAAAGAAGAAAAGATGAGGGATAAGTATAAAAAAGGAGAATAGAACGTAACAAAGACAAAAGAACGAACAATGAACGCTAATGTATAGAAATAAACGAATTAATTAATTGAATAGGAAAAAGAGAAAAGCCATTTCTGAATTTTCCAGTAATATATATATATATATATATATATATATATATATATATATATATATATATATATATATATACATATATATATATATATATATATATATATATATATATATATATATATATATATATATATATATATATATATATATATATATATATATATATATATATATATATATATATATATATATATATATATATATACATATATATATATATATATATATATATATATATATATATATATATATATATATATATATAACAGTTGAAATGGCGAGATGTAATCGTAAGTTCTATGCTAATAGTTTCTTCTCTCACATTTCTCGCATGTTGAATTCTCTTCCGACTTCCAGTCAACTTTAACATGCAAAGGTTTAAATGCAATTTTAATCGTTATCTTTTTGTCTTCTTAATTGCTCATCTTTTATTGCTCTCTCTCTCTCTCTGCCTCTCTCTCTGTGTCTTTCTCTCTTTCTATCTATATATCTCTATCTCTCTCCATAATATTTTCTCGTAATCTCTCACACTCAGTAACCCCTTGCACCTTAGTGGCTTTAGTGAACTGATTTTATATATATATATATATATATATATATATATATATATATATATAACAAAAAACGTGTTGAAATCGCTATACAATAGCTTTCGTGTTTCGGCACTACGTTGTACCTCTTCAGACGATCGTACGTGACTGGTGATTTCAACATGTTTTTGTTATAATATCTTATAATAATAATAATAATAATAATAATAATAATAATAATAATAATAATAATATATTGCCCTACTTTGTATTGGACACTTTTTAACAGTAAATGCTACTAACTACGTAGTTCTTTCTCTCATTTATTTATATATATATATATATATATATATATATATATATATATATATTATTTATTTTAAGCTATTAAAACAATTTTTATATATATATATATATATATATATATATATATATATATATATATATTATTTTAAGCTATTAAAAGAATTTTAATTTGGCTATATATATATATATATATATATATATTTGAAGCAATCAGAGGTGTAGCCACACTGAAGGCTGTGATACAGCGGAACACTCTGTCTATGAATAACAAAATATATAATATAATATATATATATATATATATATATATATATATATATATAATGTGGTTAGCATTTTTTAATTCCCGACCTGTCCCATTTTCTAAAATCTCCACAAATGACATAAAATTAAACTTTTTTGGCTTAAATCGCTTCTTTTTCAGTGCCCCCTCGCATACATACTCTCACTCTATTTATCGTGCTTCTTTATTTCAATTTACTCTGTTTATTTTTTGTTTTTGTTTTTGTTTATCGCCTTCCCTGGCCATAAGCTATTACTATTTTTTAATTTCACTCACTACCATTTTATGATTTTAGTTTTATTCTTTTTAAATTCCATCTGCAACCAGCCTTTGTTTTAACAGACCAAATTTATTCTGCTGCCTCTAACCCAACAGACGATACACAATCTAAAATTATTATTGTGGCTTTAGACATTGATGATGATGATCATCATCATCATGATTTCGTCCATAATTTTTTTGCTCACAATCACTGTATTATAATAAATCATTTCACTTTCTTTTCTTCGTAATTGATTACGAGGATAAAATTTTTTTATTATTATTATTATTATTATTATTATTATTATTATTATTATTATTATTATTATTATTTCCCTAGTTGTATACACATTTCTTTATGGATCCTAACCAAAGACCTAAAAAATGATATTTTCCACTGATAGATTTTTAGAAAAAAAAAAGCAAAATTTTACATAGTTATAGCTCTTCATAATGTGAGAGTTGGACTTGTAAGTATCATATCTTTGTATTTCTTTACGACATCGGCTACCAGGAATCACTTCAATGAGTCTATCTGAACCATTCCTAATCAATCCGACGGCTCCATTTACAACTGGGATTACTGATGTTCTCATGCGCCATATTTTTTTAAAATTTCCACTTCAAGATCCGTGTATTTCGAATAGGTTTCAAAAGTAAAGATTTCAAAGATTTTCAAGGATCTTCAAAAATAAATTACAATCTGCAGGGAATGTCATGTCAATAAAAAAAAAGTACATTCTGTTTTTGTAGTTTCTGATCACAGTGTCTGGGCGATTAGCTTTGATTGTCCTGTCTGTGTGTATTGTGAAATTCCATAACATTATTACAGGTCCTATCTCTGTATCCGGGTCTGGGTGATGTTCATACCAGTTTCTTGCAGTTACCTTCCCGTAAAAACTGCATATTTTCCACTGCAGAAATTGGCCCACTCTATCTTACCGGGTTTTATATTCTGTAGGTGATAACACTGCAACCTAATACATTTTTTCCCATATTTATCACAGAATCTTCATTTCGGTTTAGCCCAATTTTTCAGTACGTGTGCTTGGTAATTTCTAGTTAGCAAGCATTGGTCCGGTGCAGAAAGAATGAAACCTTCGATTTTAGCCTTTATTATTATTATTATTATTTTATTTCCTTTTGATTTTTGGTGTGCACTCATTTCTTTCTGGGTCCCGATCAGAGACAAAAGGTCAGAAATGGCATCATGACATTTTTCACTGAGCAAGTTAAAAAAAATTCACACATATTTTAGATAGATAAAGCTCTTCGTGAGATGTGGGCTGTACTCGTGAGGACATTTTTTTTATATTTCTTTGAGACATGGTTTACCAGAAATCCCTTCAATGAGTCTTGGAATCTTTTCCAATTAATGGAATTGTTGATGTTCTCATGTGCCACATTTTTGAGATTTCGATTTCAAGGTCCTTGCATTTTGATAAATTTTTGAATATCTTCAAAGATATATTTTAGTCTGCAAAGACTGCCATATCTATAAGAGGGGGTGGGGCACTTTTGTCGTTTTGATTGTTCTGTCTGTGTGCATTGTGAAGTCCCATAAAATTGTTTCAGGTCCTATCTCTGTAACTGAGTCTGGGTGGTATTCATGTCAATTTCTTGCAGTTTCCTTTCACTAAAAGTTGCAGATTTTCAAGTGCAGATATTGGCCCACACTCTCATGCCGGGTCTTAACTTCATTGGGTGCCAATACTGTGCAACCTGATACAAGATGGTCAATTATTTCTGGATTTTTATCACATAATCTGCATTGTGGGCTAAGACAATTTTTCATTATGTGTGCTTGATAATTTTTAGTTAGCAAGCATTAGTCCTGCGAAGAAAGAATAAAACCTTCGATTTCAGTTTTTAACCCTTCACTATGTAGCCACTGATGGTCAGTTGTTTCTGGATATTTATAACATAATCTGCATTGTGGGCTAAGACAATTTTTCATTATGTGTGCTTGATAATTTTTAGTTTTAGCTAAGCATTAGTCCTGGAATTTATAAAAGAATAAAACCTTCGATTTCAGTTTTTAACCCTTCACTATGTAGCCACTGATGGTCAGTTGTTTCTGGATATTTATAACATAATCTGCATTGTGGGCTAAGACAATTTTTCATTATGTGTGCTTGATAATTTTTAATTAGCAAGCATTAGTCCTGCGAAGAAAGAATAAAACCTTCGATTTCAGTTTTTAACCCTTCACTATGTAGCCACTGATGGTCAGTTGTTTCTGGATATTTATAACATAATCTGCATTGATTTAAGTTTTTTTTTCATTATGTGTGCTTTTGATAATTTTAATTAGCAAGCATTGTCCTGCGAAGAAAGAATAAAACCTTCGATTTCAGTTTTTTTAACCCTTCATTGATGGTCAGTTGTTTCTGGATATTTATAACATAATCTGCATTGTGGGCTAAGATATTTTTCATTATAATCTTGCATTAGCAAGCATTAGCGAAGACCTTCGAATTTTTTAGCAAGATAATTTTTAGTCCTGCGAAGAAGGAAATAAACCTTCGCTTTTAGCCTTTATTATTATTATTATTTTATTTCCTTTGATTTCTGGTGTATACTCATTTCTTTCCGGGTCTCAGCCAGAGACCAAAGGTCAGAAATGGCATCATGACATTTTCCACTGAGCATTTGTTGAGGAAAAAAACACAAAAACTCTAAGATCACAAACATTTTGCATAGATCAAACAATTCGTAAGTTGTAGGTTGTACTTATGAGTACTTCTTTTTATTTCTTTAACTTTTGGGCTGCTACGTATCCCCTTCAATGAGGCAATGTACCTTCAAGATGTGGATGACCATAGGTCTTCACAATTTTCTATTGATTGTAGCTCTAAGTTTTCTTCTTGCCACCACCACCACCACCACCACACTAGTCCTTGTTCTTCAAACCTTCGTTGTTGTTATGAAAAAAAAATGAAAAACTATCTAACTGAAGCATAAATATTGCATTCCGGCAAGATTGGAATTAGGAAGCGCCTAGCAGTCTGTCTTGAAAATCAGTATTCAAACTTCTACCTGGGCTTGAACCCTTACTACTCGTACTACTGGGAAATACAAACTTAAAGCAGACTAAAAGGTTAGATAATTTTTTTTTCTTTCTTTTCCTATTGATTTTAATTTTCTTTGTATTTATTCCGATTCTCCTGTTTCCCTATCTACAGCTTTCGCCCAAAAGTATATTTTTGCTTTTCTCATTCCAAACAAGTAGCCCGAAATAAATATTCTATTTCAACAAAGACCAAATAAAATGATACAGAAGACACGCGTTTATAAAATGTATTACTTCTGTTTGACCCGATTTCTGACCTTCTGAGTCCGTACGCCTTGATAAACTATTTTCAGATGCCATCGCAGACAAAAAAAATACATATATAAAAGGAAGTGTCCATCAATTTAATTCTTTTGTATTTTTTTTTATCTCCCAACCCTTCGGTACACTAATGAGTTTTGTGACTCCTCATTCATGATTCCTTTTTGAGCGGTGAAAGTTAAAATGAACGCTCTAGTTCAAAGGACCACACACGCACAAACAAACACACACACACACACACACACACACACACACACACACATATATATATATATATATATATATATATATATATATATATATATATATATATATATATATATATATATATATGTATGTGTGTGTGAATCATGGTAGAATGGCTTTGCAAACGCACAGATTGGCAGGACCAAATGGAGAGCAAGAAATTCAAGAAACAAAAGGAAAACAAAAAACACTGAGACGCAGACACACGAGTAAGTAATGTAAAAAAAAATAAAATAAACCAAGAGACCAGGCTGAAAATAGATGATAAGGTAAAAAAAAAATGACAAAGATGCTTTCCTTATATAAGGTTTTTAGATTGATAGCGAAGTCCGCTAGACGAAGCGCAGACAGCGTATGGTAAACGCGAGACCATCCGACAAAATTTAACCGTATCGAGTGAATGCAAATCAAGATAGAGAGAAAAAGAATAGGCTGATTTACAAGTAAAAAAAAAAACTGGCGGGAACTGCGTTGATATTGCAATGAAAATTTACGTCATCTTCTGAACTTATCCGTTGAAATCAATCGCATTATTAATTTATTATGAACATTAAGAAAAAAGTGTATAAGCAAATATGAAGTAAAATGATAACTCATTTAAAAAGGGCAATATGTACTTCTTCTATGCACCATGACTTTTGAGTAAGTTGGTGATCATGGCTCTCCACAATTTCCTATCCTTTGTAGATATTAGTAAAGTTTGTCTTTTTGCTCGCTCGTAAACCTTATTCTGTCGTCCATTTGTACAAACCCGTTGGGACTACGACGCGCCGATGTGGAGCCAGATAATCGCGGTCATTATCTTTTTCAAACATTCTTGTATATGCCATGTCTCTTCAGGAAGTTGGCGAGCATGGCTCTCCACAATTTCCTGCATTTTGTAGCACTTAATATATGCTGTCTTTCTAGCTTTCCTAAAACTTGCTCTTCCATATAAAGTTCTTTAGGTAGGTTATGCGTTATTTTCCTCTGTCTCGCTTGCCTGTCATGTGAGTATCAAATTTTCCAAGCCCTCTTTCCTCGTGCCCTAGAAATTCCAACCGTCTCTTCCTGATGTTAAGTATAAGTATCTTTTTTTTTTGGTTCCATTTTCTCTAAAATATTCTTCGTTACTCATATGGTATTCTCAGCATCCTTTTGTAGAACCACATTTCTGCTGCGTCTTCTTTAACTGTGAGGAGATTATCCAGCATTAATTGCTATATAGAAAGACTGCTATTAACCCTCGTATAAACCAGACATGTGTCTACATTTTGACTCCCGTATAAAACAAACCTATGCCTAGCTTTTTGATGAGTTTTGTGATCTTTATTATTTGAGACTCGACAATAAGGCTTGAAATGACTTTAAACCGATTAACCTAACCAAGATCTTTAGTATTAAATTCACTGTATTTACCAGACAACAAACGGAATAACTGTTAACTACTTGCAAAACAAACATAGAGGATCTTATCATACGTGTGTGTACCCAAGATTATGCTGACTAATATAACAGAAGCACTTTTAATGAACACGGAAATGACTTGCTCGGATGCGATTGACACGAACGTCGTTTTATTCGGGGTATGAGACAAAATAGTTGAACTGCCCTTGGTGCTGTTAAATAATGGAAATCGCTTGTGGTGCCACCATTTCTCTGGAATCAAAGATTCAGACGATATGAAGTCAATGGCGTTTATAGTTTGAGGTGGGTTGGCTATGGATGGTGTTGGTGGTGAAAGAGGCTGCGGTGGTTGGTGGTTGTATGGGAGGGGAGGTACTGTTGATGATGAACCCACCTTCACGCCACCCCAACTGGTTCGACGAATAATGGAAGATTCTTGTGTTGCAATTAGAAGTTGTGGTTACGATAGAGGCCCCGGTGGTGACATGGGCTGTGGCTGGAGATGTTTTTGGAAATCGT